ACACCCAAGAAGGAAAGGAGTCTGGCTCTCAAAATAGCTGAAGGTGAAGATCTGGAGGATGATGAAATGTCCATGATCACAAGGGATTTCAAGAAGTACGTGATGAGTAGAAATGGTCCTTCAAGAGGTACTACCTTCAACAAACCAAGGGCTCCTAAGAAGCAGACAAACGAGGACTGCTACAAATGTGGCAAGACTGACCACATGATCAAGAATTGTCCTTTGTTGGAAATAGAATGGAAGAAGGAAAGGACTGAACGAAGGAACAAGAAGAAGGAACATGTTCAGCCCAAAGGTAACAAAGGATCAACAAAAGCTATGGTTGCTGATTGGGGAGAAACATCAGATGAGGATTCAGAAGATAAAGCTGGAGATGAACAAGAACTTATGGCCATCAGAGAGTCAGATTATGAACAAGAGGTAAGTGTGATTCATCTCAAAGACAAGATTAAATTTCTGTCTAAAGAAAAGTTGTCTGAACTATTGCTAGACTTCATTGATGAGTCTGAGATAATTAACAATGAGAAGGAACAACTGTCTAGGGAGTGTGTGATCTTAAAAGCCAAGTGGAAAAATCTAGAATCTAGGACAAATAAGAGTGACAGTAAAAATGGTGAGTTTGAAGAACCAGGTTCTTGAACTTGACACAAGTTCTTAGAACTTAGGTCTGAAAACATAAAAGTGAAATTAGGAATAATAAGAAAGCTGATCACACACATCTCACCTTAGAAGAAAATCTAGGAAAAATGAAGGATGAGTTGTACAAGAAAGATGAGCAGATAAGAGTCTTAAAAGAAGACCTAAGAAAGGTGAAGCATGAACTAGACAGAACTTGCAAATGGAATAAGGCCTCTGATGCACTATCCTGGTTACAAGAACACTACAACAACAACAAAAGAGGACTTGGCTATGGGACCCAAGCACCTAAGTGGGACCCCAAAATCAAGTAGATCACTCTTCCTGAAAATAGTATCTGCACACACTGTGGCAAGACTGGTTATTGCAAAAATGAATGTAATGCAAAAGAAAAGGCTAGTCGAAAGAACAAAATCTTTGTTCAAGAGAAACATAGGCCGCCTGGATGGGCCAAAAGGAATTTAATTTACCCATTTGCCTATATAAAGGGACCCAAACTAGTTTGGGTTCCTAAGACTAACCCTGGTTTCTTTTGGCAGGTCCAAGTGAAGGGAAGTAGCCAAATATGGTACATGGATAGTGGCTTCTCAAAACATATGATTGGAAGCAAGAACTAGTTCCTTTCACTTGAGGACTTAAAAGGAGGTAATGTCTCCTTTGGAAATGGGAAGAAAGATGAGATTATTGGGGTTGGAAAGGTAGGTAAGACAGACTCATACTCTATTGAGAATGTCTACTTGATAGATGGCTTGAAATATATCCTAATCAGTATATCACAACTGTGTGACAGAGGTAACCTTGTAGCATTTACCTCTACCAAATGATTTGTGATTAATCTTACCACTGGCAAGATTGTTTTACAGGAAAAAGAAGTTAACAATATTTCATTGTAGATATTTCCACTCTTTTAGAAAATGAACTCACTTGCTTGTGTGTGTTGGACAGTGATCCCTTCCTGTGGAACAAGAGACTTGGTTATGCAAGTCTGAATCAACTCAACAAATTAGTCTCCAAGGACTTGGTGATAGGGTTACCTAACATCAAGTTCAAGGAAGACAAAGTTTGTGAGGCCTGTGCAAGGGGGAAGCATGTAAGATCATCCTTTAAAAGCAAGAAAATGGTAAGCACAACCAGGACGTTGGAACTGGTTCATATGGATCTCTATGGTCCAATGAGAACATTGAGCAGAAGTGGTACGAAATATGTGATGGTACTTGTTGATGATTACTCTAGGTTTACATGGGTACTATTCTTAACATCTAAGGATGAAGTATTTGACATGTTTACTGCCTTTGTTAGAAAAACTCATAAACAACTAGGTAATCAACTTACATCAATCAGGTCTGATCATGGAACTGAATTTAAAAATACTAAGTTTGCTGAATTTTGTGATGAGCATGGTATAGATCATAATTTCTCTGCCCCTAGGACTTCTCAACAAAATGGAGTAGTTGAAAGAAAGAACAGGACTCTTGAAGATATGGCTAAAACTATGCTTCTTTCTAGTAAACTGTCCCATAGCTTCTGGGCAGAGGCTGTAAACACTTCATGTTATATCATTAATAGATACATGACTAGACCTCTTGTAGAGAAGACTCCCTATGAGTTACTTAAAGGGAGAAAACCAAATATATCCTATCTTAGGGCATTTGGATGCAAGTGCTTTGTGCACAATAATGGAAAGGACTCCCTAGGTAAGTTTGATCCCAGAAGTGATGAGAGAGTATTGTTGGTATATTCTTCACATAGCAAAGCTTATAAAGTGTTCAATAAAAGAACTTTGTGTGTAGAAGAAAGTGTACATGTAGTTTTTGATGAAACTTACATTCTTTCTAAGAGACAGGAATATGAAGATGAAGCTATTGGGCTGATAAAAGATTTGAGTGAAGTCTCAGCTTAAGCTAAAGTGGCACCAAAAGAAGGAACAGGTGATGGAACAGGTTCTTCCATCCAGGGCAACCTGACAGGGGGAACTGATCAAAGAGGAACTGAAACCAATCCCCTAAAGGAACCGGTTCATGACCCTATTCCTCAGCAACAGAACATGGGAGAAACATCAAGCAGAAATCAGTTGGTTGTGAAACCTCACAAGTATCAAAGTTCTCATCCCATTGAGAACATAATTATTGATCCAACCTCTAGAGTTAAAACTAGATCACAATTAAAGAATCTGTGTGATTTTGATGTTTTCCTATCTCTTATTGAACCTAAAAATGTTGTTGAGGCTTTGCAGGATGCAGATTGGGTAAATACAATGCAAGATGAACTCAATCAATTTGAGAGAAGTCAAGTTTGGCATCTAGTTCCAAGACCCAAGGACAAATCAGTAATTGGCACAAAATGGGTCTTCAGAGACAAGCTTGATAAAAATGGAACAATTACAAGAAACAAGGCAAGACTGCTAGTCCGAGGTTATAGCCAAGAGGAGGGTATATATTATGATGATACCTTTGCTCCAGTTGCAAGACTGGAGGTAATAAGACTCCTCATAGCTTTTGCAGCACACATGGAATTCCTTCATCAGATGGATGTCAAAAGTGCCTTCCTGAATGGCTACCTAAAAGAGAAAGTGTTTTTTAAACAACCTTCAGGGTTCGAGAGCAAGGAATGTCCTGAACATGTGTACAAATTAGACAAGGCTCTCTATGGACTCAAGCAGGCTCCTAGAGCATGGTATGAACGATTGTCCAAATTCCTGCTTAAACATGGCTACAAAAGAGGTAAAATTGACAGTACTCTATTTTTGAGGGAAAAAGGTAAGGATCTTCTTGTGGTACAAATATATGTTGATGACATAATTTTTGGGGCAACCACTGACAAACTAAGGATTTTGCCAAATTAATGGGGAGTGAGTTTGAAATGAGTATGATGGGTGAGCTTAACTTTTTTTTAGGCTTACAGATCAAACAAAACCCAAATGGAACCATGATCCATCAGCAGAAATATGCAAAAGAGTTGATTAAAAAGTTTAAAATGGATGAATCAAAGGAAATAGACACCCCCATTGCAACTGCCACTAAATTAGACATAGATGAACCTGGTTCATCTGTTGATCAGAAGTTGTATAGGGGTATGATTGGTTCACTTTTGTATCTTACTGCCAGCAGACCTGACATAGTTTTCAGTGTAGGGCTTTGTGCTCGTTTTCAGGATAATCCAAAGGAATCTCACTTGACTTCTGTCAAGAGGATACTGAGATATTTGAAAGGCACTACTGATCTATGTCTTTGGTACCCTAAAGGTAGTAATTTCAATCTAGTAGGCTATGCTGATGCTGATTATGTAGGTTTCCTTGTGGATAAGAAGAGAACCTCAGGTATGGCTCATTTTCTTGGTTCATGTCTTGTATCATGGGCCACTAAAAAGCAGAATTCAGTGGCCTTATCCACTGTTGAGGCTGAATATGTTGCTGCTGCCTCTTGTTGTGCTCAATTGCTATGGATCAAACAACAACTGATAGATTTTGGCATTGAAGTTGGTTGCATTCCTATCTACTGTGATAACACTAGTGCTATAAGTATGACAAAGAACCATGTTCATCATAAGAGGACTAAGCACATAGATGTTATACACCACTTCTCAAGAGATAACTATGAGAAAGGATTGATCTCCATAGAATTCTGTGCTACTGATAAACAAATTTCTAACAACTTTACTAAAGCATTGAGTAGATAAAACTTTGAGTGGAACAAGTTGGAATTAGGGATGATTAAGATCACCAGATAGAACTAGCTCAAAATGCATAATGAAAAAAAATATGAAAAATGAAAAACAAATTGGCTAGGAAATCTGAACTTGTGTAAATATCTAGATTAATTTTTACTCAGCTTTATATTGTAATTAGTATACTCCTGTGACATGTGTTAATATGACTCATTGATCTCTTACAAAATTTTCTCTATTATGGTAAATTGAGGCATGGTCAAGAGAATTCTAAATGAAGAACCTGGTTCATCAGTATGGGTTCATCTGAATGCTAAGATATGTTTTCTATACTCTGTACAATTTGAAATATAAATATTTAAATCATGAGAAGAAGTCCTACAATTGTTTAACTCCTTAGAAAATTCTATCCGTTTGTTTTTGAACCAGTTCCGTCAGCCTTAGAACTCTAAACCACAAAAATTGCCTAAAATCTAGGGAAGCCTAACCGTTCATTCAAACCTGAAATTTTAGGTTGATTAGACCTCTAATTGACTACTGCTAAAGCTGCTGTTATACATTAAATGTGCATTTCTCTTTAAATACACCTCATTACCTCATGCCATCTTCATAATTCTAAACCGTCAAAAACCCCTCTTCACTTTCACTTGCTCTGTTCTCCAAAGTTCTAACTTACCAAGTCTCTCAAGAAATCAGATATAATGACAAACCCACAAGACAACCCTGGAACTCCTCCACCACCCACTCCCTCAAATTCATCTACCCCTCCTCCACCCAGCAAATCACCCAAACCCAGGCTGAGAAGGGTAAAAATGCTTGCTCGAAAAATAGTAGCTTCTGGGGCCCTTTCAAAGAAATTGAATGAATAATTACAGGCAAGTCAGGTCCAAGACTCTAACTCTAACTCTGATTCTGAGTCATACAAATCTGCTAGTGAGGGGGAAGGACCTGGGTCGTCTGACTCGGAGAAGGCTCAAGAATCCCCTTCTAAGGTAAGTTCTTCTTTGACTGAGAATTTAGAAACTAGGTTTGTTCTGGTTGGGCCTATCAGGGATATGGAATTACCTGAGTTACAAAGGAGTGAAGGTAAAAAGAAATCTAAAAAAGAAAAAGAGAGAGAGGGTGCATGTGGTGATGAGAGGGAAAAAGGGGAAAAAGTAGTTGATCAATCACCCACTGTTGATTTGTCTGTACCTGCTATCTATGGGGTTGAACAAGAAAATGTTGAAGAGAGTGGCAAAAAGTCAGGGGAAGTGGTTATGGTGAAATTGCTGAAGGGTTAGTTAATCTAAGCGCACAAGGAGATGAACCTGGTTCATCAACTGAAGAGACCCTAGCAGACTTGTTGAAAAAGGTTGGAGCAAGTTATGATCCAAAGAAAAGAATAACTCCCACACCAAAAGCCCCTAGTGCTCCAAAACCCTCCAAGAAAAGAAAGGCTTCATCCCCAACAACTACTGAAACTTCCTTGCCAAAGGGAAGATCCACAAGAAGCAGGGTGAAATAGAGTGAGAGTGATCTACAAAAGGCTCTGGCTGAGAGTAAGAAGAAAAGGATGGATAAAGGAAAAGGGAAGGTTGCAGAGTTCTTAGAAGCTGTGGAAGTTGAGGAGATGGAACAGGTCCATCAGGAGAAAGTTACAACAGTGGAGGTTCAGACCCCCAAGCCCAAAAAGCCCAAGATTTCTTCCAAGAAGTCTTCCTTTATGTTTGAGGCTGCTAAACCCTCATTGGCCAAGAGGACAAGGTCTGTAGTGAAAAGTAAACAAGTAAGAATTTCTGAAGATGAGGAATGGAGTTGTGAAGAAGCAGAAGATGAGTCTGATGGTGAACAAGACAAGCTTGCCATGTTTGACAAAAGAAAAAATTTGAAGGGTAGATTTCTGAAAGACTTGGTGGAACCAGAAATGATAAGACTGGTGGATGCCTTAGCTGCTCAGGGCTGGAAGGACATGGTCCTTCAGATAAATGGAAGGCTAGCTTGTCTTTAGACAAATGGAAGACAAAGTCTTGTTTGAATTTGTCAACAAGTGCCTATTGCCCAGGCAGGAGAGAAGACATATTGCAAATTTTATGGATTTAATTCTGATGGAGTGCCTGGAAAGTGGAAGGCAAATTAATTGGCCTACATTCATCAATAAGCTAGTGGATAGGGTCATTAATGGCTCCAAGGCTCATGCTACCCCCTATGGCATTATTCTGACTACGGTTTTGGATAAGTGTAATGTGCTTCTAAAGAAATGGGAAATGGCCTCAAGCAAGGACCATTTTGGCATTTATACTCTGCTTGCTTGTGACTATTTAGTCAATGCCATCCCAAATGAACCTGGTTCATCCAATAAGACTCCTATCAATAGTAAAGTCAAGGCTCTTGTTCAGGAATGTGAAGCCAAGGATGCTGAGATAGCTAGGCTAAAGGCTCGTGTGGCAGAGGTGGAATCTGAGAGGGATGCTCTCAGAACTGAGCTTACCAAGGAAAAAGAGAAGAATGATGGAATTTTCACAATATGCTGAATCTTCTCCAAGCCCAAAACCAACCCTCTAGTTCCCTCAAGCCTTAGGAATTCTAGCCTTTGTCTCCTGAACCTATCTAGTACCTTCAGTGACCCGGATTAGGGATTTTTCTTTGTTTTTGCTCATGTTTTAAATGTTTTTTGCTTTCTGGTTGTGGATTGTGGTAGCAACATATCTTCTATCAATGATATCTACTATTTTTGCTATTGTTCAATGTTAATCTTTCCTTGATAGTTTAAATATGTTTGCTTGATTACTAATGATTAAACCATGATTGCACTTACAGTTTCCCCAGTGGCCATGAGTACTTATTAAAATCTGGGACTCACACTTTGCATGCACCTTTTCGATGATGCCAAAAGAGGGAAGAGATTGTGCTTTACACATTCTGAATAAGTGATATTTATAACCTAATTAACCTGGTACTTGATGATACGTGAATATTCTAAACTTTGTATTGACGGTTAACCTGAGTTCTTAGAGGATCCAAGTAAGTAAAAAGCACAAAGTTTGTCATCACCAAAAAGGGGAAATTTGTTGGACCAAGAATAGGTGAAGTTTTGAAGATTGACAAAAGAACTCAGATATGGACCAGATCCATCTTGTAAAGCACAGTCATGCTCAACTTGTACGTATGAGATACATGTGAAGGAGATAAATCTAACTTATCAAGAAGTAATATCTCTTGATCTGATCGAAAAGGTTGCATATTGTATAAGGAGAGAAAGACTCCTTACATGAAGAGAACATAGTTTAGGAAGACGATAGTGTTAGAGTTTGAGATCAACTTGAACTCTTCTACGATAGAAAAGTAGCATTTGAATCCCAGTCAATCTCTAATTACTAACCCATTAAATATCAGTGTTGTTCTGTTTTACAGGTAATGCACATAAGCAGAAGTTAAACTTAAATTAAGAGCAAAAGAGCAAGGCAATTTTGTAAGCAATTTATGTGTTATTCGAGTGTGCAATCCTGAAGCTACTTGAACGAGATAGAAGAACCAGCTCCAAGTGTCTATCTTTTATTCTAGTTCAATTGTAGTAGGTGATTTTACATTGTACCTTTCAGCTTTCATAGAAGCAATTGTATTAGGTACCTAGAGTGTTCAAGTTAGAGTTAACTTGAAGTTGTCGCAACAGTTGAGGCTGTGTGCCACAACGGGATTAGAGTTAATCCTTAGGTTTATAAAAGAGTTTTTGTAAATACTGTTTTTGGCTCAGTGATTTTAGTGGAAGTTTGGGAAAATCCTACTGAGTAGTAGGTCGTGGTTTTTTCACCTTTTGTGCCAGGTGTTTTCCATGTAAAAATCTCTGTGTTCTTTATTTTTTTTACTTATTATTCCGCAAATAGTAGTAGTTGGAACACATAGAAGAACCAGGTCCTTCTACTATTCAGTCAAGCAAAACTTGGGTACCACACAAATCACCCCCTCTTGTGTGGTATTGACATTTAAAACATCAAAGACCGAGTCTGCCCGCCCGGGGTCTTATGGCCTCGTGTTTTGATTAGTCAATGGAGGTGGTATTTTGATGGCAGTCCCCAAGTCATCGAGAGTTTCTTGACTCGGGAGCCATTTTTTGTAAACTTTGCATTCCCTTGTTGAGGGCTTATGATTTTGGAGATCTCGACCCTGAGCTCGTGCGCTTTTCTTTTGAGATTTTGTCGCCACTCCCCTAATACTCGAGGTGCTTTTGGCATTAGAGATGTTTAGCGATTTCCGCGTTGCCTTATCTGAGGGCTTATGATTTCGGAGCCCCGACCCGGAGGTCATTCAAGTGTTGAATTGTTGACGCCAGTCCCCGAGTATTCGGGACGTTTCCGGTGGAGGAGTTATTTTTGCGAAGGTGCCGAGTATCTTTTGGAGCGCGAGATGCCTTGACAAAAGATGTTCTTCAATTATTTGATACAAGCGTACATATGTTAACCATCGGGGGCCAGGCTATATGGACATGGTTTATTTGACCGTTTGTCCCGGTATATTATTTTCCTATAGGGACCCCGTTCGGCGTTTCTTGGTTTTTCCGAGCGGGTGGCTCCCGGGGAGGGGGGATGCCCCCAATGTTCGAGGTTGATTGCAAAAAGAAGCCTCAAACATTTGCTGAGTTTCCCTTATGTAGCATGCAGATGTTGCCTCGTTAAAAACCTTGCCGGTAAAACCCTTTTTCGGGATAAAAACTCAGTCGAAGGAAAATAGTGCAACAGATGCTTTAAAAACTTAAGGTCTTTNAAAAAGAGTGCAATAGATGCTTTAAAACCTTAAGGTCTTCAAGATGGATTAGCGTTCTGGCCGCTTCGATCGGGCTCATGCATAAAGGTTAGTCTGAAATAAGAAATGAAAAAGGGAGATGGTCGTACCTTAATGCGAGATGCACCGGTGATATTTTGAGGATCGATGTTCCAATCACTCGAGATGAGGATGCGGTACGGTCCTTTATTTCGTTTAATCGGGCTTGATCGAGGGTGTGGCTCGATTACCTTTCGGCTCTTTTGTGGGCGGAGGTGCGAGTGCTGGTGTCATGTCGTGCACCGCAAACATTTCCTTTTCCATATGTTGTTCCCCGTAAACGGTTTTAATTCCGTCCTTTGTTGGAAATTTCATCATTTGGTGAAGAGTGGATGGTACCGCTCTCATGCAGTGTATCCATGGCCGTCCGAATGAGGCATCATACCTCATGTCTCCTTCAATGACATGGAATTTGGCATTTTGGGTCGTGCCGGCCACGGTGACCGGGAGGATGATTTCTCCTTTCGTTGTTTCACTTGCCATGTTGAATCCATTGAGGACTCGAGTGGCGGGCATGATTTGGTCGAGCAGTACGAGCTGCTCTATCACCCTCGACATGATAATATTGGCTGAGCTACCTGGATCCACGAGTACACGTTTTATTTGAAAAGAATTTGCAAGGAAAGAGATTACTAGCGCGTCATTGTGAGGTTGAGACAAGGTTTTAGTGTCCTCTTTGATGAATGTGAGGGCGTCCTTGGGAATATATCCCCAGGTCCGCTTTTTTCTAGTGATGGATATTTTTGTCCTTCTCTTTATGGGTTCCTGCGGGGTATCGACGCCTTCCATGATCATGTGGATGACATGTTGCGGCTCGTTTGCCTCATTCTTCTTGGTCACCTCTCTTTCCTGAAACTAATTTTTGGCTCGATCGCTAAGGAATTCCCGAAGATGCCCTTTGCTAAGTAGTCGGGCTACCTCTTCTCGGAGTTGGTGGCAATCCTCGGTCCTGTGGCCGTATGTGTTGTGAAACTCACACACTAAGTTGTGATTCTTTTGTGAGGATCCGATTATATAGGCCTGGGCCACTTGCCGTCTCTGATTTTACTGATGGCAAATACGATGCCTGATACATCGACGTTGAAGTTGTATTCCGACAAGTGGGGTGCACCCGTTGGCCCTGCATTCCTATCGAATCTAGCTTTGTTGATGAGTCCTCTGATCGTTGCGAGGTAGGTTGCGCCTCGGGGCGTTCCTCCTATCTTTGATGTACGACTGATATCTTTTTTTGTTTGGTTATGGTTCCTTTGCAAGGAGCCTGCTTAGGTATACTGAGCCCGAGGGGGCTCCCAACTAGTCATCCCCAGCCCTAAGTTTTGACTAATACTGATTGTGGACGTCCGACCTGGTCATAGCTGGATACTCGATCAAATTCTATTTCAACTGTTTTGAAGCCACTGAGCTTCGTTCATTCGGACCTTGAGTTAAAGCCTACACTGCCTAGTCGTTGGAGATTGGCGGTAGCTCTATCCGTTCCATTTGAAAGCAAGACATGAATTCCCGCAGCATCTCGTTCTCCTTTTGCTTAATATTGAAAACGTCGGACTTTCTCGTCACTACTTTGATGGCACCGACATGTGCTTTTACAAAGGAGTCTGCTAGCATGGTAAATGAATCTATGGAGTTTGGAGCCAAGTTGTGATACCACGTCATGGCCCCATTCGAGAGTGTCTCCCCCATCGTTCTTTATATCGTTGTCCTTTACCATGC